AAACAAAAACCCAAAACACTCAAAACCCGATGACCAATGCTCCTGGCCTGAAAAAATCAGATCTGTTCTGCCCTTTATCTCCACCTCACCCCCTACTCCCCAGTGTGTGCATGTAGGGAAGCTACACCGCTGTTGATAAATTAAGGAAGACTTGAGAACTTTCAAGCTTTTCATTTTTTATTCAACCAGCCTAGAATGCATCTGTCCTCAGGTTGCAACCTGCAGATATTTCTCCTTTGCCTTTAGGGAATGAACTCAAGGATGAATTTTCCAAGTCCAGAAGAAACAGCTCCTGCTAGGAGATCACCTGCTATCTTCTGCTAGCTGGTACCACTATACAAACGTATTTAGACTCCTCTTTCCTCCCCAGGCAACCAGAGTAAACAAGGGAGGAGCAGTCAGCAGTGTTTTCTGCAAACCTGTTGCACCAGTTTTGTGTAGAAGACACTGCTCTGTGGGTGAGCTGCAGAAACCCTGGCATACACAGAGGCTCCCAACTGAAGAGCGAACGCACGTTTCAAGGTGGTACCTCACTTGTTTAGCTTCGATTTGCATTTCTCTACAGCCCATACAGAGTCAAGAAGCCGAGACGTTCAGTTCCTTAGAAGCTTTATTTTCATTCAAGCTACAGAAATAAAGTAGTACCTTCCAATTTCCCATTATACTTTCTGCGTATTTGTACGGCTCAGGGCGAGATGCGCTAGGATAGCTACCCTGTACACATGGAGGGAGATAAGGCTCAAAAACTAGCTTGACTTCAAAGAATGCCAAACCTTACCTAGCAGGTTGGCTCCAATTCCTCGGTAACATTAATAGGCACAACATAAGGAAAAAAAAGATTGATCTAAACTACCTATTGTAAGCAAAATCCAATAATTAATTACAGAAAGTCATCCAAAGAAACCATTTTGAAATAAGTTTTCTACTTGAAAAAAATACAAAAAATAGATGAGTCATTTTTGCTTTATATATGATATATTCACACACATACTTTCAAGTATAATTTTCACTATTACCATACTTACATGGCTAGAGATAAGAAAAGTGAAAATCCCATAAGCAGATTATTATGCCAAAGTCATCACACAGTCTTTATCTGGGTTCAGCAACACCTGGAATTCTCCATGGTATCACAGTGACCAAAAAAGCAGCGACTAGACTCAATGTAATTTTTCCCTTTATTAATCATGTTTTAATAAGGCTTGAAAAGTATCAGGGTTTAGAAAACTGGAGATAAGAAAAGCACAGGCAGTCAAACCTCACAAATTCACAGCTAAGCTTGTCACACACTCAATAGGAGCAGGGAATAAAAAAAAAAAAAAATAATCTGAGTTAGTTTGGTTAGCAGGCAAACCGATACCAGACTGACTTCAGCTAGGATGTTTTTTACATTTAAGGCATCACGCAAAGTAACAAGTGAAGGCTAGGAAGCATAACAATCATCATGTGCTCTGCCACGATTCACATTTAGCTCTGGACATCAGAGCCTGCTTTATTTCAAAACAGGAAGGCTAGTAGGGCATCCCATAGTCTTTTGGGAAAGTAGTGACAGGCAGCCACCAGGCAAGAGCAGAAGTGACTGTGGTTTTCATCACGGGGGAAGGAATTTAAGTGCTTGTTAAAGGCTTGGCTGCAGTGCCAGAGCTGGATGCCTGAAAGCAAATTCTGGTGGAATACAAAACTTTCAAGAGCTAAAAGGCAGAAGGACTGTTCAAGCAGCTACAGTGACAAAGGATCCTGCAAAGAGATCAACATGGAAAGATCTAACAGCTTCTGGAGCTTTGAAATGACTGGAGAGGTCCAGCAGGTGCACGTTCCATAGCCAGGATGGGGACTGGTTCCATACTGCTTGCTAATACACTCTGCACTCCTGCTTTACAAGCCTCCTTTGGACAGACAGGTATGAAATGTCTTAAAGTGAAATAGGTATGAACTATTTCCTTACTGGTGATGTCATTTTCATTTGTCTGTTTCTTGCCCAATACAAAAAGGCACCAATTCTCCATAAAAAGTGTATTTTAAGACCTGAGTAAAACCTACTCACCAGAAGAAACTTGCAGAAACCGTTGACTGTTCTTAAGAGGGCAAAGTCATCCGAAAGTTCAGTGCTAGGCAGTCTGAACGCCCTATGGGTTTAACAGCTAAGCTCAACCATTTTGCTTAGTACTTCAGTGCAGGATGTTCTTAAAATCGAGTTTTAAAACCATCCAGCCCACCCAAACTCAAAAGCAAAGCTTCAAAGGGAAAATCCATGTCACTTCACTAGGCTGAAATGCAATGGTTTTATGATTTTAGTAAGGGTCCCATGGAGTCCAGACATTTTTTCCAAGCATTTCTGTAGGAAAATATTCCATCAGGTAGGATGGAAGTTTTAAGCTCAGTTCAAGCTTTGCTAAAAGCTACTATTCCAAGTTCTTAGAATTTGGGTAAAAAAAAAAAAAAAACAACACATTTCCTGAGCTAGAGACAATCTGAAACAAGACACTGACAGTGCAGCAGGACAAATGGCAAGTGACAATGAAATGCATTGCACAGCCCAAGACTTACAGTATACCCAGAAGCTGTAAATTCACCAATATTCCTCACCTGTTCTTCCCAGGCTATACTCTAGCACATTCTTAGACCTCTTTGAACACAGCATGTTTTTGCTTTCCTTGCTCCACATTGGCAATGGCTACCCATTTAGCTGGAGACTTAATGACACTGTTTTGTACCAAAACTAGATAGTTAAACTTAAGTGCTTACTGTTTTTTCCTCTCATGAGCCTGTAGCTAACAGAATAGGGAGCTCTCAGCTTCTTCCTTTAGTTTAAGAATACAAACAACGCCATTATAGTCAGCACAACATCAGTATGCAGCACAAAGTGACCTGCAAGTTGGAGAAAACTAAGTTCATGGTCGCTTGCTTCTAGCAATGAATTAAAGCCATAGGTTATATATTTGATAAAACAAGTATGTAATTTAATTTCACTCAAGTCTCCTAGAAACACAGCAATTATTTGAACAGTGAAGAGCCTCCAATCCACCTATATGAAGTTTTCATATTACAGTACAAGTCAGCTGGCTGCTTAAATATGCTCAGGCTCAAAAATGTGAGACCATACCAAAGAAAACTCCATTATAAATCACTTTTCTAGATGAACAAAACGCTGCTGCCCTGACCAATACCCCAGTCACTCTTGCAGTGAAATTAGACAAAACCAATACTATGTACTTCTCACAACAGCACGTGGGTTAACCTCAACGCTCTCTTACAGAAGGGCAGCACTAGCTATGTTTCTGAATGACACTCATTTTAGTGAGCCTGACCTCAGCGCTCCCAAATTACACACAATCCAAGGTTACCACTCAGGAAGCTGATTCACCTCTACCTTCCCATGCACACAAGTGTTACTGGTGTATTTGCCTTCGTAAATACTACTCAGCTTCAGGCTGATGAAATAGAACAGAAATGGTTCAGAGAAATGTAGTTCTAAAAGCTTACTTTAATTGCAAAGATGATTAGCTGAGGCAGTAAGTTGGAAAACAGGCAGGGACCGCTACATCCTACTACGAGTGGTCCTATGAAACAAACCTGGCTTGCTTTGTGCACCTGCAGAACCAGGGCAGGCAACCAGTGACACCAGAACCCACAGAAAACAGCGAACAAGCAGCCTCAGCTCTCTCCACATCCAACTTCTATCCTGGTTAATGACCAATACTGAAGGCATAGTGTCATTAGAGATGTCTACTGCAAGTGCTTCTACTAGACATAATAATGATCCAGAGGTTGGCATAGCACCTTTGTTGTATAGTCTGGTACACTATCTACAACATACATTGCTCATAAAATGTGCAAGAGAGTGTTTGAGTCTATCTTAGCACATGGAAATACTTCAGTGCTTTAACCAGGCAGATTTAAAAGCTTGATTCAACCGAAGCTTCACCACCACAGTGGCTAAACTTGCTCTAAGGAGTGATCACAAAAATCAAAACCCCCATCAGCAGCTGCCTTTAAGTGCAGAAAGGCTGCACAGCCCCGGCAAGATCTTCACGTACATCACACTGAAGAGGAAGGTAGCAGTGAAGCACTGACTTTGCTGCATGCTCTGCTTTTAGAGCAGAAAGAAAAACCCTCTCACATTGTGCTCACGACAAGAAGTTAACTCAACGGCCTGCAAAATTTTCCTCCAGCCCTGCAAGACAAACTTACAGCTCCCACAGTAACTTCCATGCCAACGAAAGCTTCACTTTGCTGTAGGACACTACACAACAGCAGACCATCTAGATCCTCTCAGACTTTTATTTTGTAGCCACGTCTCTAGCGTGCTTTGCTCGTACTTCATATAGGAATTACATACTTAAAGTAGAATCACTCACTTAAGAGCTTTTAGTGTAGTTCTAACCTGGAACTAGGCAGCATTCTACGTACCCTTAAATTTCTCAGTTGGCATAAACCAAAGTCAAAAGAGAAAAGGCAAACTGTGACCAGTTACACCAACCACTAATTAAAACCAGCAGCCACAACAATACAGTTTCACTCTGACTTATGGTGCTGTCTAATAGATTTATTAAGAGTTTAAACAGACTACAGCTCCAGACTATCTTTCTTGGAAGACACTACAACAGATGCCACAGCAGAGACTGCCTTGTCACAAGAGGTACAAATACTTGCTGTATAGATGGAGAAATAAAGGACAAATCTAGTTGTCTAAAAGACAATTCACTGTACACATTTTATTTACAGTTTTGTACACTGTCTTAATATGAATGGGACCGCTTTTCTACTTTGAGCCATTTTAACCAAAGCAAAATAACCTAAGTAATACAAAGTGTTAAAATACAGCATAAGATACAAAAACAGACATACTATTTCTAGTAAGGAATGTAAATTATGGTGTTACATTTAAAAAAATCCACAATTATCTTTAGGAAATCACAAACAGATCACTGATTTGACTGAAATGCATAAATCTGTAGCAAGACTTTGATGTTACAAAAAACCAAAAAATTACCAAAGAATGCACAAAATTAATGTTTATTCCACCTTTGTCATATTCCCAGATTCTTCACCAAATGTTACATGAGCAAAAACAACTGAAATCAAAATATCACTAATGTTACCAAATAGGGAAAACAAATAAATTAATCTAGCAGCCATCAGCACAGGTTACAGCAAAGATGATGCTGTATAAAAAAATTGCTAGAAAACTGTATGCACCATACTCTTTTTCAAACCAGCAAAATGTTACTGCATACAATGCAAATGTAAAACAGAGCAATTTCCTGCAGGTACAGAAATGCAACTTCTTTTCTGAATACTGTGGATAAACAACTGTTTTTTTCTCTCCCCGTAATAGTAATGTTTCTACCAAGCTATTACAGAGTGGGCCAGAAAAACATTTATGGATTGGGGGGAGGGGGTATGAAGTGTACTAAAATTCTGATTGGTAATGGTTACTTCAGCCAAAATAGAAAGAATTGAACACAGAAGTACAAGACAAAGGCGAATGAGACTTCTCACAAATCTTAGCAACACTTAGATGGAAATCAAATTTAAACGTAGTCCACTCTGCTTTTGAAGAGGCTTTGGTTCAGCTCCCAAATCTCGATTGCTTGACGCAGTCTCCTATGAAAGAATACTCAGAAGGTGTCTTCTTAAACAACAAACCTATTTTTAGTGGTGGAGCCGCTCTTAGTAGCTGTGTCTGCATGGGACTGATAACCAATCACTATCTTTGGAGGAAGTCCTAATCTTTCCTTGTATACTCTCCTGGAGAAAAGAAATAGAACAACGGTTTAAGCAAAGCCCTTACAAAGGAATCAGTAACAGGACACCTGCTTTTAAGATCTGCTGACACCTTCATGAAAAATAGTTGCCTGTTTAGAAACAACTTCCCAGGTATGAATAAAGGACTTGAAACATGATTTTTCTAGCTTACGGCATCTAAAATTAGTTGCCTGTTTAGAAACAACTTCCCAGGTAGGTATGAAGGACTCGAAACATGATTTTTCTAGCTTACGGCATCTAAAAAGCAGCTTATAGTTCCGTATGAACAATGACTTACCACAGAAAATAGGACAAGCTCTTACCAAAAAATAATTAACAGGCCTAACTAAATGTAGAACACAGAGTTTCGACTGCATTTATGTGAACATCATTAATATCTGCAAACTATGCACATGCAACCGAAACAGTCACGGTCCACAATCCCAGAACTACTGAGATGATAAAGTCACCTTAATCAAACTGAGGTTCCCTGGAACAGTCAGCTTCTATCACCACACACATCTCAGTCACACAGTCTGTCTTTTCTGTAACTAATGATAACTAATGATGTGAACATCGTTAATATCTGCAAACTATATTAGCGCACGTGCAACCGAAACAGTCACGGTCCACAATCCCAGAACTACTGAGATGATAAAGTCACCTTAATCAAACTGAGGTTCCCTGGAACAGTCAGCTTCTATCACCACACACATCTCAGTCACACAGTCTGTCTTTTCTGTAACTAATGATAACTAATGATGTAAGACCCCCATGCCCCAAATGAATTATGGTCCTGGTCACAGGCAGCTACCCAACAGCAGCTCTAAGAAAAATGAGATTGGGTCTTATGCCTTAGGAGAAAGGAGCAGCAATACCCACCACACACGGTGTTCCTCAGCATAGAGCAAGATGCAAACCACTTATGGCACTGGGCTGCAAGCTCTATGCAACAGAGCAAGCTGTTCAACCACAGACTGTTAACCAAACTACATAATTTTTCCTAATCATAATGGAGCAGTTTACAGGACCATAGCTTAACCCAATTTTAACTGTTAAATAAAAGCCTGATGTATTGTCTTTGGAGTTGTGGCAACATGATGCCAGGTAGTCAACACAACTTACCTTAGTCATTGTGTCAGTTTACAAAAATAAAATTGCAACTTTACAGTTCTCTGAGGCATCCTAACTTCTTAGTTAATGGGTAATACTCCTCTAAAAATGCTCTTCAATGTTTACTAGGATGGAAAGTTACTCTCTACTAGCAGAAGATGCATACCACACTTCTGTGTTGATAAACACTTACTTTTGAAGTCTGAACATGATTATATAATAAAATCATTAGTATAAGGAAGACCCCACCACATTCTTAAAGGCCCAAATAAAGAATGTGACACATTCTCTTGACAACAGAGCCACCCAGAAGTGAACAATGTTGGCAAGCTACTATGCCTGAGAGTTGAAGTCTGGCCTACGGCAGATGTGCTAAGCTATGCCAATCAATGAAAATACTTTAATTCAGTCATTGTAAGCCATTTAACAGCAAGTCATTTTGAAGCATCATTACTACAGCACAGTAGTAACTAGCTTGCCAAATAGCAGAGCACTGAGTGCATTTTCCACAGGAAGTACTCACAATTATCTTAAATGACTACTGTTGTTACTACAACATGTCAAACAGCCCATGAAACTCAGCATTCTTTTAAGTCGTACACAGACAAAAAGGTAGAAAAACATCTGTAGTTTCACAGCACACTGTTGTCCTGCTTTTTTCAGACATAAGGACAACCTTGTGGGCTGTAAGATTCACAGCACCTTTCTTCTCTTACTACTTTCCTGGGAGAAAATCTTACCAATGGTCTACTGTTACTGGCTGCCCATCTTTAACTGGCGTTCTGCAACAGAACCTACACTACCTTCAGGTATTAATTACAATGCCTTATTGTGAAAGGAAAACGTCTGTCAACGTTTGTGTTCAATTCTACATGATTTCTCCACTACAGCAAAGGTAGTGCAGGAGTCAAAGAAGCTACTCATGTAAGTCCCTACAAAAGGCTACACAATAATGCCAGTAATTTAGCACTGACTTAAGTCTGGGATACAGCTCCACACAGGCTTTGTCTACCTGAAGTGCATTCCCTATCAGGTTAGCTGGCTTTAAATGCATTTTTATACTTCAGATATTCAAGATGCCAACCACAATACTTACCCTATATGTGTAACAGCATCCCTGTTTTCACATTCAGTTGTCCATATCGCTATTTTATCACCCTTAGTTCTAACATTAACAACAGCACCGCACACATCATCACTGTAGTCATCGAAGGACTCCCCAATAAGGCACAGCAGCTACAAAACAAAGATTAACCATTACAAGTGGCAGTTCAGTGTCAGAATCCTGCTCCACAGGCAAACATGCAGCATACACAGAGAACTGAGGCATATGCCATTTTACTGCTTATAGCCACTTGCCATACAGCAATAATTTTCTGTTTATTGCAGTATCATCTTGAAGTTCCAAATGTTACAAGTGAATGTAAACACAGTTGTGAGAGTATCTTCCTCCTATTTGGAGTTTTCAATCTCTCCTCCTGTTCCAGCAGCTGCAAGTTCTGACACAGATGATTTACATAGTGTTGCCTCCCACTCCACTCCCCCAATCCAAACCCAGGTAAAAATTAAAGAAATTTATTCTTCTTTCTAAAGTGCATTTAACACAGGTGGACAAATCTGAAATTTGAAGTGTTTACATTCATTATCTAGGAAGAACCTGTGAAGAACGATTTGGGCAATATGTCAGCTATGTAAGGTCCAACTCCAGTTCTGACGTATATCAGTTCAGTAGCAAATCAGAATGCAACTTAGATGAAAGGACTATCTAATGAAGTGTTACTGCCTATCACCACACTCAGGAAGCTTCAGAGTTCCCACAGACTCTGGAGTGTGAACCAGACAGCTTCAACAGTGTGGAATGCAACATCAACAACCCAAGTGTACAAGTGACACAATATTCTTCCTGCAGAGATCCCTAACGGTGGAACTGGCAGCAGCGACACTGCAGGAGCATTAAGGCTGAGCTTGGTCACATCCTCGTACAACATGCTAACTGTGAAAGTGGTAAGATAAAATTTTCAAACTGCAACTTGTAAAACAAGCGAGTTTCAGAGAGTCAAAACAATAGATTCTTCTAGACCATGCTGAATTAAAAATCCTTCTGCATACTGGAGTATTAATCTGCAAATCGATTTTTCCCCCCCTTTACTTGCACAGTATGTTCAATACACAACCATGACATTTAATTTTCCAGAATCACTTGTAACATTTGGAAATCCAACACAGTGGGAATTTTTGGAACAAAGCAAGTCTTTGAGTACCTGTGAGGGCTGCAAGGGCTGACTTCAAAGAAATACTTCAAGGAAATATAAGAAGGACAAAGTGTGCTACTGAATGAATCAGGTATAACCATGCATACTCTAAACATTACACCCAATTGCAGGCTGCACACATTCACCAATTAATGAAAGCCATAAATATTTAAGTTTAAACCACACACGAACATTCCAAATATTGATCAAGAGTACATACACAAGCCAAGATGAGCACCATGATCAATAAACACTACAGTCAAGCACACTCTTCAGGAATGGTGCACTAGAGGGGGAAAAAAGCTTTCTCAAATGAAATTTAGTTTACAGTAAAGAACAGTTAAAGATCAGTAGATTATAATAACAATTTGTTCCAAAGAGGAGTGAGAAAGGGAGAGGCTTTGATTTTCTTTGGAGAAAGTTGGTTACAAATAATTACTGGAGGTTGATTTAGAGCAGAGCCTAGTCACTTGTATGTTTGGGCTCTTAGTCATTGCGTGCTCCTCAACAAAAAGCAGGGCCCTCTAGCCTTAAGTCTACACAGACTATCTACATGTTTCCAGCCCATATGTAATGCCTACTAAGAATCAGAGGCATTTAGGTAGAGGCCAAATGCTCACAGCAAGAGTTCATTTACTCATGTGCAGTCATACTCCCCAGTAGCATAATGTTCACAACCCTTTCCTCAAATCACTACAACAAAGATCTTAATAGCTCTAGTGTTTTGGATACCTCTGCTTTGATCTTGAAGGCCATTCCTCCCTTTCAAAGGGGGGCAATACTTCTTGCCTCTCACACAAGCAGGGGAAAAAAGACCAGAGATTTGGTGTGAACAGACCAGATTGCTTTGCATTGTACTGTGTGTAACCCATGCTCCTGAAGCCCAGATTACACGAGACTGTTTCATGCTATTCTGAGTCAGTTCCTAGACAGTAGTGTCCTTTTCTACAACTCATTTGCTGCAGGCCACAATCTCTAAAATTAGGTTTACCATTAAAAATAAAAATCTATTCCAAAGAGATAACTCTGGAAAAATATTTTTTACAGGAAGATTGTACTATCACTTGTCTATCCTAACACTGAGTACAAAAATAATACAAATCTGAAACTCGCTCGTTTCACCAAGAACAAAAAGCTATTCATTTATAAGAGTATTCCTAAACCAAATTTGTTACATTTAAGCAGCTAAACTCGGGAGTCACATTCAAGACAAAGTACTATTTCCCCAGTATCTGCACAGTTATTCTGTGCAGGGAAAGGTTAATCTGCCCTGCAGAATTATCTCTGTTGCTGCCTGTTATAAGAAAGTATTCAACAAAATACAACTACATTCAGCATCACTGCTGAAAAAAATTAGTTTCAAATACAGCCTGCCAATGAAACCGTACAGGACACTGTGCTGCCAGGAAGTCAGAAGCCTCATGTGGCACAAACAGCAAACCAGTTAAATTACTAAATGCAAACGTAAGATTTTGGTCACAATTTGTAAGGCCATAGTGCTTACTGTCTCTAGCCAGAAGCGATCCAGGTCACTTCGTCTCTGCTGCTTGTTTAGTGTAATTAACCATCGTCCTCCTCGCTTGTTTTTTTCATCTTCCCACATGGGTTCAATCCCATCCTGCAAAGAACGACCAGAAGCTAAATCAGACTATCTGTACTTTTCCTAAAGAATAACCAAAAAGCCAGTGATAACAGCAGTAGTGACTTAGGAACAAAAGTGTGTAGTTTCAGACACATACCTCTCTGGAAATACTGTCTCATGCTAATACCTAACTTCCAAAATGGTTTAACAAGTGTACTTTCTCTAATGAATATTTATTTCTACAGAAAAATTACAGCCTAGGCAAGTCTTGGCTACACAACATTACATAGAAGAATACTGTGGGAACAGGCAAAGTCAACCATCCACTTTGCCTGTATGAAAACATAAAATTAGCAGCTACATTCTGGAGTCTTTATTTTAAGTCTTGGACTCCGTGCAGCCCAGCCAAGTGCTTCGCTTATGCATAAATATTACTCCACTGAAGCAGACTCCCTTAGCAGTCTATCTCGGGGACTTCCTCCATACACAAGGTGAGAAAAAGAGGGTTTTAACCGTCAGGACCACAGAAATCAACACACCATTTAGGAGGAAGCTGCATTCTGAATCTGTGCTTTAGCAATGGCCCTGCACTGAATTAAATGACTCTGGATGTGCTGACCTGGCAAAGCTGCCAGCTGCCCCTCCCACATCCACCAGCTATGCTGCACTTCAGAATCCTCTGTGATTAAAAAAAGTAACTGTCTAGACAGAGAAATTTGGTTAAGAAGTACCTATTAAGAGAGTCGCAGTGCAGAACTTTGGCTGACAACTAATTTAAGTATTGAATATACAGTATGGAGTGGTGTCAGCTCACTTCGAACTTAACACCCTCGCTGGCAGCTGCAGAGCTCAAACTACTCCACCACCTTTAAGAGGCAGTCTTAGGAGGTCACAACTGAAGGACAACAGCAAGAGACTGCTCAGAAGCCTGCGGCAGCTGCCAATTCTGTACCTGTTCCATGCATTTAAATAAGTTAATTACTGCTGATTGATGACAAGCAAAAAGGATACACATTTACAACACCAATTTAGGATTCATGCAAAAAATACACGCATGATCCATAGATCTTGTAACCTCTGCAGGGACTACAGATGCTTAAAACTTACTTATAAGGTTTCTTAGTCACTTGAAGTATCATTACCTTCCCAAATGCAATCACCATCAACTCTTCCACTACCTAAAGCTGCTAGGGTTTACAAACTACTTACACACTCTACGGAGGAGTCCCAGCCAGCAGCTGTTTTATAAGCAAAGGAGGAAACGGGCACCAGTACACAGAGGACTACTTAGAGATCTGAATTCAGAAAGGAAGCTGCACATTGGAAGCACTTGGGCAAGGTTAAGACCTAAATTAGAACTCCATTTCAGATCCCTGCTCCAGCCAAGGCAGGATTCCATGTACATTTTCTCACCAGCGTTCCCTAGTCTGCACTCCTCCTCAGCATGCTTCAACTGCCAGTGTTGGGGACAATTTTCTATTTAATACAGAAGTAATACAGCATTTAACTGGTGGTGAAAACAATTATAAGTGCGTTATGAGGACTACTAGCTAGATGCACAAAGAATACTGTAGAACATCACAGCCTCCCACAGAACTTGGACATTTGAACCCATCATGTCACACCAAATGACAGAACTGGAAAATCTTTCATATTCTAAAAATAACTGCAACTTAATTGCTTGCAAAAATCTCAAATATAGAATGAAAGCAAACAGTAACAGTTTAAGACAAACTGTGTGAAGTGTTAAAATGAGTAATTTTTCAGAACTAGTGACAGCCTGATTTCCAGAGGGCATGTGTTCAGAACTCCCTAAAAAAAATTAACACGTTCAGGACATTCCCAACAGCGCTCCCAAATATCTGAAATTAAATACTTGGACAGTGCCTTTCTTAGTCAGGAAACCATCCATCAACATTCATAACTGAAAAAAAAAAACAAACCCCAAACCATTAGCAAGCATACCTTAAAGAGCGAGTAGTCACAGCCAGGCATTAAATTACTAGAGAGCTGGATATGGTTGTATAAACTATTGGAGGGAAAAAAGCAGGATTAAAAACTAAGCATTATTTTAAGGCACAAAACTCTTGAATTTAAGACATAGGACCAAAACACAAAAATTTAAAAGCATTCAAGTTATTTCAGAAGCAATTCTATTTCTAAACCAGTTTTCAGCAGTGTAAAAGCATTAGCTTTGAAATATTCTGGGTTTAAAGACGCAGAATGGAAACTGGCTTATGAACACTTGCTGGGTTCTATAAAAATGCTTCTTTTAAACCTAGGTCTAACAGTTATTAGTAACAACTCACCAAAATTTCATTGCAAAAAGTTCTCTGTGTATATTCTGCACACATACGCACATTGAATAAGGTTAACGTTTATATTTCTAAGGCTACTCTCTCTGCAGAAATTTTAGAGGAAATACTCAACTTTGCTCTTTAATACAATAACTCCAGGGATGAAGGCTGTCAGCCTGATAATTCAAATTGGAATAAGGACTCAAGAAGTAAGAACAGATGACTGAAACATCAAAGTATAATATATATAATCCAAATCAAACTTACAGCACTGCAATTCAGAGGGGGGGAAAAAAAAAAAAAAAAAAGAGTACACACTGTCTCCTCCTCTAGCAAGAAGGGAGATGCTTTCTTTCCTGCACTGTTAAGGTGAGACCTTAGGAAATGGCCTGCACATATCACAGTAACCTGTAGTCCAAGACCAATTAACATCCAGGCATGGTCCACTCACCAAAAAGGACACAAGTCACTGTGACGTTCTAACAGTTAGAAGTCAGGCACAGGAATACACAAAGCCAGTTAGATTTATCAGCTTCCCTCATCTAAGTTTACCTTAACTGTAGTATTTACTCCCCAGAACACATCCATTTCCCACTCTGACCACAACTGAGGCATAACTTCTCAATTGCTTTTAACTGACTTTAAACCTTGACTGCAGATTTGACCACTTCTAATTACCCAGGCCATCTTGGTTATAGCACCTCTAAAACTTACCCTTAACCAACTTCAGTGGTGAGCTTCAAACAATTTAGCCTCCCATTACACATACCTAGACTGCAAACCATAGTTCACTCGGTCAGTGGCCACCCCCATAGCAGGACTGGGAAAGCTGATTACAAGCACAGAATCCTGTTCCACTCTCTCCAGTGACTCCACTCATAAATACTTGTTCAACACTTTCAGTATCCTTCACTTCCCTGTTTGTGCTAATGGGTCTCATTATTCTACTGAGAGACATCTCTCCCTTACTGATCACATCCAGAAGAAGGTATTCAACAAAAGCTTTAAGAACTCTACCACTCAATGTAGCACATAATACTAAAAGAAGTATAAAACATATAATGCATTTTTTCACCCTCAATCTCATGCCACTCACCATTTTCTCCATATTTCATCATTATGGCAGGCAAAATATTCCAAGTAAGCCACTTGAATTCAACCAAAGTGTTTGGAGAGCACAAGCCTGCCTTGAAAGGCTTTGTTCTTGCCGTTTGAGCCTAACTGCTTTTGCAAACCTCCCCTTTAGGATGAAGGTAGTTTCTTCTGTAACCTCTAATAAACTTCTTTCAAGGGTGCTATTAATCTGCATCACTCTCCCAAGTACTGTGCTCCAGATGCAGGCACTCTTGCACCTCTGAAGTGGGCCAGTTGTCTGAGAATTTAATCAACTAGCAAAATTTGGGGCCAAGGAAGTGACAATCAGTTGCCGCTAAGAATTTATGAATACATGTTACTATGAGACAGCTACTGCACAAATAATATTTTACATGCGTGTCATATACACGACTATAAACAGTGTGCCAACATTAACTAGACAATGTGCATTTAACATATGAAGAACTTCTCCAATCACGTTTTCTTCAAAGGTTACATTCTACCGTGTTCTGAAGAATGGTGTAGGTCTCCCCTTTAATTCCACAGACGTTTCACATTACACCCAAAAAGCTGCAGTTCATGGAGCACTTTGTTCTCTTTCAGCTTTAGCATAAGCTTTACCAACATATGCCAGGATTATTATGCAGATTGAAAAAATCTTTACTTACGCCCAAAAATCTTCAACAGTATCAAACTTTGAGATAAGACGAAGATTTGCTTGCCAGGTTTTGCTTTTGTCATTTTTAAAAAACCAGAGTGCCCATCTAAACGAAAACAAAACAAAACAATAGCATCTAGAAATTAAAATATATTAAAACCGTAATTATTTGCATTGTTATAACTAAACGAATTGCAAACCATAAGACAGCAAGAAAGTCAGTTTTCATCAATAAGATACATGAGAAAGTTTTTAAAACCAGCTCCTTGCAGCTCAACAACATTTGTGTTCCCACTAAAGAATCACAGTAGGCTTATCAACCTGTTTGTGTAAATATTTCAAACAGTTTTGGGTCATTTCTAAGACTCTAAACTCCTAAGCCTCAGATGTTTCTTCTCACTGCCACTGCTAAACAGTAATCCCCTACCAACAAATAACTGATTGTGGTCTGAAACACCAACCATTCAAACTAGCAGCACAGCTCCCTCTCCACTGATTTCCCTGTAAAGGTTACAAGAGCTAATTACATCACTCCAAAGCTATATATGACATGAAAGTTTCCCCAAGCGCTCACATACTTGGAGAGTATAAATTTTAAAACTTAGAGAGCTTGAAGCTTACTAAAGGCAACAATCTTTAAAAAAAACACCAACTGCTTCAAGTTTTTAAATCTATACACATGAAGACAAGACTAAATGAAAAATTTTCCATCTGATTTTCTTCCTCATTCTCTCTGCTGTGTAGAAATCAACAGATAAATCGAACCTTTACACACAAAGATGCTCTTTCTGGATCTAAAAGGCACCATTTAAAATGCTGGAACAGGATACCTGAGTTGATACTTGATAAAACTGGCTTATTTTTCATAGTGATAGTTTCAGCAGTGTTGAAATCACTCAGGTTAGCACTATGAGCTCATTTACCTTCTCACAGTGGAGTACTTGCAGTTGCCACCTACCACTCTATTGTTTTGAGACCTTTCATGACATTTCAAACTTGGTTTTAAAAGTTTACTATTCTCTAGTAATAGCCCCATTACTACTTTTAAAGGAGTGACAGCACCAATTTAATCAGAGTGTTTCAAGACAAAAGAGGAAGGGTAGAAGGGAAGGACAATAAGGGAAAACAGGCTGCACACAGCATAGCAATACAGCACAGAGTGGTTTTCCACACTTGCTCAAAACTTAGGAAAAAAGTGCCACCTAGTAAAAAGTTCACTTTGGAGCAGTACCTACCTGGCAATATTAAGTACTGAGCACACATCAGCTCTCCAGCTTATTTGGAGAAAATTACTTCCTATAAGGTCTTTTTGAGGTGTATGCATACTGCTGGAGTAACTTTTATGCACATTTAATGGAATTCGACCTGTAAGCTTATAATATCTTCACAGCAGAAAAGTAGTTCAAGTCAAGATTTTGAAGTCCAAAGCCTTCAATGAGGTTTTAAAGTCCTCATTGTCTCTATAGCTCAGCAAAAACCTGAGTACTAACTTCTAAGATACACCTGGTTTTGCAGAATGAACACAGAATACAGTAAGAGGGCTTGGAGTTTTCAATAACTTCGCTTTACTATACTTTTAACTACTGCTCCACGTTTTTCTTGTTAAACAAGGAAAATGCTAAGTGCAATATAGTTTTTCCTTACTGACAAATTGGTACAAATGTGTCCATTTTCACTTTACAGGGTTTCTTCTGCTGTGCTTCCTACAGCTAATGAAAACAGTACCACTGTAGACACCAAATGCTCATGTGATCAAGTCTAATAAGATCTTTGGCTGATTGACACAGCTTCTGCTATTTTCAGTTCCAAATAGGAGCAAAAAAATTGTAAGATATGAAGGACTAAGACTGACAAGAAATAAGAATGAGAAGCCCTTACCCCTGGCACCTTAACTGCCCCAAGTGCAAGGCAGAATGGAAGGTTTTGCAGTTCTGCTCAGCAGCAACTTCATCTTGGCATCAGTCTCTTAAAACACACACAACAAAAACAACCGAAGCCCCACTTGTCTCCAGCTAAGGCGAAGCCATGCCCTCTCCACTTACAGGGCTGCACTGTGAAAATCCGCAAAGATTTTCGGCTCCTCTAACAACTCTGTGTGAAAAGCTTCTAAATTCACAACAGGATCATACCCTATTTCTTCTGCAACCTCACCTCAAAAATCTTAAAAAAAATCGAGAACTCTTAAAATGGTTCTAGAAAGCATAAGGTAAACAAGTGAACTATAAAGCCACAGGCTTTTTTTGGGTCATTGGCAAAATTACAATCATGCTTCTGTACTATTTACCTGTTTTGTAGTGGATGCTTAATATACTGCTCAGGGCTGGCAACCTCCTGACTTGGTGCTGGTTCAGTTTTCTCTTCTTCTGCGGGCTGGGGGTTGGGAGTGGTTTCCTGTTTGAAGAAAACAGTTATTAATACATTCCTTCTCAATTTTTATTGAAGTAATTTAGTTCTTTGAAGTAGCATTAAGAAGGTTGAAGCAAGGAGTTCTTCTAATTCAACTTGGATTAGGGGCCCAAATCACATCATGAAAGCACCGTCTGCATCCCTTTATTCTCCAACACACACCTGAACAGGTCCCAGAACAAACACAAACTGCAGGAGTTCACATTCTGATGTTCAGCCATTTGCTGCCTTTATCATTTGTTTCCCCAATAGTTTACTTAACATACTTGTCTTATTTTGAAGCAGTTTTGAGAGTGATTTCAGAAATACACAATATGCTATGTTACCTAGAATATGGACATCTAAAAATTAATTTCCAGAATAATTTCAGAAGGATTTTTCTTTAAAAAAATCAGTTTCTGGCAAAGCATCTTTGGAAACAGATGTAGAGGCACCTTTTATTTAAAAAAACCAAAACAACCTTTTATTACAAGCAGGAGCTATGCCTACAATTCCCAGGTCTGGAATCGGCTATGACAAGAACGTAGAAGCCAAACCAGTAGTTACCTTTTTATTTGCAACACCACTACTAACAAAGCTTCAGGTGTTTAAATCCTGCTCTTTGCCTATCAGTTCTCAAATTTCAAACTAAAATGTAATTACACGTTTACCACAGAGTAGTCCAATTGCAAGCATTACTTTTTTAAATCTCTACACAGTGATCATCTACAGATGCCAAATATAGTTTAACACAAAAGTGAAATAACGTATTCCCCTTCAAAAGCAAACCCCCTCAATCAAGCTGGTCATTCAGCTTGAGAAGCCACTGTGTCAGGTCCGAAATTCTAAAGCCATTCCTTCAAACCAGGGAACACAAAGCTTTATTGTGAGGGCAAGCGTCCCCACCAGTTACCACCATCTCTCCCTAGTCTGCAATCCATGCTAGAATATTAGAGAGAGCAGGAAGGAGGACTACAAGCTCATCCCCTACAGCTAATACAGAGATGCCTGTACAGCTGACCCAGCCAGAGGAAAAGCACTCCGGTAATATAAACAAACACTAAGGCAGACCTAAAGACTCTAGACATTCCTAAATGCAGCAACACAAAAAGTAGCACTTCAAAACTAAACTCTGCAGTCTTAAGAGAACAAAGCAACATAGGGGTGGATTAAGTAAAGGTAAGTCATCTAATTAATGGAACAATTTACTGCAGGCTTCCATGTTACTCAATTTATCACCAAAGCTGCTGAAAAGTGGAATGGATTTGAAGTGGTAACATAAACACTGTTTAACCTTCACAGTTCCAGCTTGCAAACTTCTGGTAACACCTAAAAATCTGTCTTAATAGGGGTTTTATGTTCATTAGCAACATATTTAGCATTATTAAGCACAACATTACATCTAATTTCAGAAAAATTCACCTTCATGTTTGAAAATACGTATGCTCAAGTTTAACAGCTCACTTAGAAAACAGATCTCAGCTTAGAAGCTCACTTCCCTTCTGTTTAAGAATTCTTTCATATGCTCCCACCTTACCAGTGAGAAGACTGAAATATGAAGGCCTGACAGGGCAGTGACAACAAGGCTAGTGCTTTGATTTACAGGGTACAAAGGGCAGGCAGTACAATTTCCTGTCTCCTAATAAAACTAAATGCTTTCTGAAAATTGCCTAATGGGGAACATTGCTGATAAACCCACAGAAGCACAGCACTGAACAATCTGCCCAATCTCCTTCAGCGTGATACTATAAAAAGCTAAATATATCTTCAAAAAACTTAGGAAATGCTTCAAATTCTATAGAGAATAAAATTTTTAGTGTTAGTCCTACTTATTTTTGAAGTTGATGGTATCAAATGCACATCTTTTATATCAATCACATAAAAAAACCCCCACAGAACAAATTAAGATGGTCACTGCACAAAGGCTGCAAAATACACCACAGAAGCATTTCAGTACTTCCTTCAACTTGTTTGTATTATACTACAAAACCAAAACAAGTATGGACAACTACAATTTAAGTGCTGCCCCTCTGGGGGCTTCTAACTAGAAGAGTTAGAAATGTTACAAATGTGCAAATACAATGGGCATAAAAGATTTTTATCTTGTTGGCATTTTGGAAGCAAGCTAAGCACTAGGCTTTGTGATAAAGCTCGCTTTCATTCACAATACTCTGCAGTTGTGACATCTAATATTTACAATTGATTTACAAATGCTATTACACTAAAGATTTTTACATCAAATAGACTCACTTTTGATGAATGCAGAGTATCTTCCAAAAATAATTTCAGTTGTGAATCTCACTCCTGTTTGCTCAGCAAATAGCTTTCAATATACAAAGGACTAATTCTGAAATCTCCCTGGTCAGTCTTTCAGAAGTATCAGGTCTACATGAACTGGAGGAATCAATACAGAATCTCTGAGTACGTGCAGGGCTCTGCCGTTTCGTAACTTCTAATACAAGACAACATCAGAAAGGATGAAGGTAGTACCTCCACACAACTCAAAAAAAATGCAGCAAGCCTCAGTACCTGCCCACTGTACTGATGGTCACCCGTCACATAATTATGTGAAAGTCCATTTCTGGACAAATGGAAGACACAGCAAAAAATGTTTTAGTTAAGTCACCACAACAGTAAGTCCCTTCAGATACTTTGAAAGCTATCCAGCATTAATGAAACTCGGACTGACCACTATTCTGAGCTCCTGTCCAAAACAGTACATCACAGCTCACCTCCATGGCCCAGATAACTAGGATTTTGACCCAGGACATACTACACCCTTCAAAAACTAAACTAGCAGGAAAAGATTTTTTTTTTTTTCAGTACCAGGCTGCCCACCAAGGATAGGGACAGCTGCACACACCAGAATAAACCTGGAAAAAGGTGTGAAGCTGGAAGCAGAGCTTATTGCCACAAAGAGTTTTCTGGCTGGTGTCAGGAGCCTAAAGCAGCTTGTTTCCACTAATTTCCTACTGCCACCAAGGAAAACAGGAAAAAGACCATTTTAATTTTTGGCTGGTTATTCATGGCAGCTCCTTTCATCTTATCTACCTCTCTTCTGACCACCAAGCTGCAGTATTCACATACCAAAGAATTTTTCATTATTAGTCAAATACTAAGTACAGAAGTTTACTAATTGCCATTAGAAGTCCACTTCTTGTACCCAACCTCCTTCCAGCTACTGAAATTCTACCCCTTAACCACAAGTGTGTAGGTTTGAAAAGATTCTATAAATACAACATTAAAGTTGTCCACATTTTACCAATTCACACCTTGAAGTCTTGCCATTATTACCAGACTCTCCACCAGCAGTTTCTGGACTACTAAATTTAAAATCTTTCATAATACATCACTATTGCTCGTAACTAATGCATTCTTTACCCTAAAAATGCCTTTTGTGTCTATTATAAGCCACCACTGAGTTCCCTGCTTTTAAAACAGATGTAATAAAATAGGGTAGTATTTCCAGATAAACCAGAAATCTTCATATGGCCAATCCTACTCCTCATACACAAGAGAGCACATAATTAAAAGTGACATTTATACACTACTCATATGGCTTTTGATGTAGGAATCAGCTGCAGAAGTCCACAAATGGCTTGCCTACTCAGCATTTAATGGCCGTGCGCATCCGCACGTTACCTGGGTTCTGACACTCACAGGTTTAATTGGTGTTATTTATTCTTCCTCCACAACACGTAATGACCAACGTATCAAAGGAAGGTGTGCACGTCATCAGGACAGGAAACAGAGCACTCACAGTAAAAACTGCTTAATCAGGTTTGTCTATTGAAGAGAACAACTAGCTTGACAGGGTTGCACCAAGTGTTTTCAGGTGCTGCCCAGACCACATTCATGTCATCTAATTGTCTACAGAAGTTGTTTAGGAAGTCCAGTTGATGGCACGCAACTCTCACGTCCCAAAAGGACATAACCTAGCACTGCCATGTAACTCTTGCCAAAAGTTGAAAGTTAGGGGAGGAGGCTTCCGGAGTTTTCTTGCATTGAACCAGAGTAAGTCACATTTCAGAGTTTCCATCTTCTTGTTCAAGGTTTCCAGCAGAATGAGAAAACTGTCCCAGTTAACAGATGTTTAGGAAAGGACGTCATCTATGTGCTGGTCCTTATGCTTCTGGTACATAACTCCTACTATACTACAACCACAATAATTCACAAGGCACAAAATCAAGAACTATTTATTTCAAAATATTCTGGACATAAAAAGGATTTCATTATTTTATTACTGAGACCACCACAGATTTTTAGAAAGACATTCACTATTAGAACGTGGGACATGGTTTTAACTGAGTGACATCCCAGCAAACTCGAACAGAAGCACAGCACATGCACAGGAAGACAGGAACAAAAGACTTGAAGAGCCACATGCTTCCTCCAGGGTCAGTGGGGCACAGTGGTTTGCTTAATCTCAGGTTTTAAAAGACGCAAAAAACATTTACAGCCCCCTCCTGACTTCTCATGGGTACTTCCAAGTGTAATGCATTTTTCAGATTTTCAATGCTTAAATCACAACCTTATGACTAGAATTACCAAACAAGTTACAAGCTTTATCAAAACACTTAAGTATCTTTCTGGGTTTTTTTTTTCTAGCTGTGTAAGCAGGCTGCCCTTGTGCTACCAATTTTCTCACTCCAGTCTGCACTCTGCTGCTACCTCTCCTACTGCAACATGAAATCTAGTCATGGGATAAGATAACTTAACCACATCCAACATTATGTTAGTTCTAAGGCACTTGAACAAGAACACAAAAACTTCCCCAAACTGGTGAGAACAGTTCAAATGACTCAAGGGACAAAACACCTCTAACCTCCTCACGCACTTCTGACACAATAAAAGGCACAAAAGCACCCACTCCAAATTACTCTGAGTATACTGAGCCATTCATACAACCCAGCTTAGAATTGCATCACCTGAAAAATTAAGACACTCAGTTTTCAAAAAAAAAAACAAAACAAAACTGTACAATGTATGGATGCTCAAGAGGTCGGTCTTTGACCTTCAAAAAGTA